ACAGTATTTATTACAAGTAGTTCGAGAACATCGGCAACGTTATCCAGATTGTTTAAAAAAAAATCTTCAATAATAACAAAAATTTAAATTACATTGGATTGCTAAGTAATTTTCAAACGATTTAAAAGCCTGATTTAAAAGTAAAGTAAATAAATTTTTTATTCATACAATACCAATCGTCATTTGATTTATTCCTTCGTAAGTATTTTAAATTACTGAAGAAAAATATTTGTCTTTAGGTTAAATAAACTATGATTTTTTAACCCACTGATGCTGAAAATGTTCGGAAAGAGTTTTACTGGCCTTATTATAGCATAAAATTATAAACAATTACTGTTTAAAAAACTAAATTTAAAATGTGTATAAATTTTTGTGGTGATTTATTCCAATAAGACCATCAAATTTATTGTAATGCATCAAAAACGTCAAAATTTGCGATAAATTTAACTTTAGCCTAAAATAACTCTTCAACTATCAGGTTTCTCGCAAAATCATAGGAGACACTTTTTGTAGAGCGTTCAATTCTCTATAAAAATATGTGATTGAATTTTTTTCACGACACACGACGGGCTAGCAATAAAAATCAGAAGGTACAAAAAAAAATTTTCCCATGTTATTCTTATGGGAAATAGAAAAACGCGATGCGGACCGTCTTAATATTAATATTAAGAGCTCAAATTTTAACTGGTATTTTTTTACGTTGAAAAGAAACTTTTGAACCTCTTTGCACGAAAAAAAAAATTATTATTTTTTTTTGAATCACCCTAGTGATTATGTTTGGACTTTGCTGCGAAGCAAGAATGTGTGCTACAAAAGAAAGTGCCGTTCAAATAACTATTTTTTAAAAGAAAATAATGTGCTGTATTACTTCTTCTTTGTTTTTTGATTTTTTTATTAATGTAAAAATGGTTTTTGTTATTATTATCAGTGTTAAGTTAAGTGATTTCAATATATTTTTGGAAAAAAGTTACTAATGGTCTTATTTCTGGATGTCTTGATTGTTGAAATGTATTTTTCGTATTTCTATTAAAGAGCATCAACACAGTACAAAAAATACAAAAAACAGATTCAAGCAACAACTTTTAGAAAAATTGTTACCTAGTGATTGATTATAATCAATCCCCGTTTGATTGAAGAATTGAGACCTTGCGAATTAAATCGAAAGAAGAAATCGAAAATGTTTGAGCGACGTACGATTAGTTCCCTAAATAACGTTGGAAAAACGGAACTCACAGTCAAAGCCAGCCACAGAAGGCTGAAATAACTTCTACCATTATCAACCATCGCCTGCCAGTGCAAGTCATTGCCTACATCGATGATAGAACAGTGGAAATTGTAATAGATATCACATCCTTTGTACAGTCGCGGACAGTGAATTTCATTTACAATCGCAGTCGAAGCTATAGCCATTACTAATTTTCCCGGATCAGCAAGAACGGCGCGACGACGCATTAGGGAACAAGGACTTAGAAACCACACATCAGCAAAAAAAATAAGGCTAACTTCTAGCCACATGGAGGCACGAATGGGGTTTGCTTTACAACATTTAATGCAGGATGTGGGATTTTGGAGCTCTGTTATTTTCTCAGACGAGAAAGTCTTTCAGTCTTGCCAAAATGGAAAGTTGAAAGTATACAGGCCCCGAAACATGCGGGATAATGACAGATATATTCAAACATACCAACAAAGCGGAAGATTTTCTGTCAACATGTGGGCATGGGTATCTGGTCTTAGTCGTGGGGTCATATTACACGTGCCAGAAAAATTGAACAGTTTGACTTATATTAGAATTCTGGAAAATGTGATGCTGCCGTCGGTGACTGGGATATATCGAGAATAGAACTTTATTTTTCAGCATGACAATTGTTCAGTTCATACTGCGCAGAGAGTGATCGACTGGTTGACCGAGAACGATGTAAAAGTGTTGGATTGGCCCAGTCGTAGTCCAGACTTAAACTCTATAGAAAACATGTGGGGTTTATTAGTCAAGAAGCTGCAAGAAAAACAACAAATATTTGAAAACAGGGAACAACTTTTGGTTTCAATAAGTAAAGCATGGCATGAGTTACCAGAAAACTATTTTAGAAACCTCTGCGCGTCTATGCCTAAACGATTGGCTAAAGTTATAGATGCCAATGGGGAATGACGGTATTAATTCTGTTCTCTTCTTGTTTTGTTCTTGTATTATAATCACATACTTCTGTGCATCTAATAAAGTTTCTTGCGTTTCTTTTATCATTTGAAATTGTTTTCTGTTTGGTTTTGGATTGATTTCTAACCTGAGAGGCAGGTATGATACGCAAAGAATTGACTTCGTCGAAGTGCATGTTTGTTAAAAGGAGTTAATTAATGTGAAAACTTTCAGAGAAATTTCGCAGAAAATGTTGCTACTAAATTTAGCCCGTGTCGTACCTGCTTCCCTGTACAGAACTTCGCAGAAGTGGTATGAAAGCCATGCAAATTAGTTTGCCCCTTTATGTCAAAATGACAAAAAAAGGTTAGAAAGATCTAAGGGCTAATTTAGAGTTTTTTTCTGTCAAAGAAATTGGGTGGACGAAATTCACTGTCCACGACCGTAAAAGTCGGGTTTGCCTATGCCACTGACAGAAATGATTTGGAAACAGCTCTTGGAAGTTTAGACTCACCTGGGGTGCTATTCTTGACTTTATACGTTATATGTATATAGCGCATGCGTTATATAGCGAACACTTTACAAAAAACCTATTCTAGTGTATAGTAACCGTATTCGAGATACACCCACATAAAATTTTATGGGACCAATCACTCAAAAATCGGTGTTCCTGAAACCGCAACCATAAATTATGAAAAGGGCTTGACAGGTCATTTTATACAGAGCCGTATTCGGGTTGAGTTGAAAGTTTTACCTGCTTTCGGTAATGTTATACATATAATATTAGAAAATATAATAATCGTCCAGAAAGTTCTCCCGCTGTAGTAAATCTTATTAGACAACAATCAGAACTCATATCTTCTGAAAAATGGCAAAATTGTATTCGGCATGTTATAAAAGTTGAATCAACATTTGTAAATACACGGCCTAACGAAATTATAATTTCAATAAATAACGACTCACTGCCCATTCACAATGGACATAAGACATAAGAACGAGCGCATAACATAATTTACGTTTTTGGTTTGTGTCTGGCTTATGCTTATCTACGTTCACAGTGGACAAAGTGAACTCGGTAAGAATTGTTAAACTGCGCAAACGCAGAACGGAATAACTCCCGGCTAAACATAGAAACGGCTAACCTCAAACTGAGTCAATCAAAATATCTAACCTACAATTTCGTACGATATTCGAACTTGACAACTCGCAGTACAGAACAGACTCGCAGTGTGACACTTTGATTATAATATATATAATATAATCAAAGGTGTGAAGTGCCAAGTGCCAACTGTCAAAGGGATTCAATAGCAGCATTCAAAAATCCCTAGATTTTAACATAATTTTGACATAATTCGTGCACAAAGTTGAACTTATTTCAACTTTATGTACGCACACAAGGATTACATAAAACGTTCATAAGCATAAGAATTACGTTCGTCCACTGTGAACATGGGTACACGTTTTCCATCGTTTCAACTTTATGTATTTATGTAAGCTTTATGTACTTGTTATGCCTTATGTCCATTGTGAATGGGCAGTCATCTGAGTCTGAAAGTGACTTATAATCTTATAAATATTATTTAACTAATACAATTTGTCTATTACTTCACCTTATTTTTTTAACAGAGTACGGCCCTGAAAAATTCTGCCGGCACGTGCCGATCTCTGGTCGCATAGGGTGTTAAAAGCAAGAAATTACTGTTGCCATTGTGCAGGGGTTTCACTCAGGATCTGTCATAAAGTTTTATGTGGGTGTATCTCGAATGAAATTTGTATATATTCGTTACGCTGTAACGAACATTCGCTGTTTAGCGCAGAGCAAACACTGACAACATCTTAAAAATGTTTAAATTTTACCCGTGTCCTAGCTACGACAAGAGGTGACACATAGGAGTGACAATTCAAACAATTTTTTTAATTATTTGGATCGTGCTTAATACGTACACAAATGGATAAACAACACAATAAAAGAGGTGCAAATGCTCCGAAAAACAAGTAAAGATGTAGCTGGAATTTGTAAAGTCTCGGAAGCAGTGAATAACTAGAAAACATTCCACCAAGTATACGCACAGAGATAGGCAAAATGAATGGGACAACATTACCGAATTGCTGAATGCCATTCCCGGTGCACATAAAAATGGACAAGGTTGGAGAAAATGCTGGCATGATTTTTTTTTCACCTTCTTCAATACCGCTGACACCTGTTGTAGAACAAAATGAAGTTGAAGAAGAGAAAAATGATGAAAACACTAGCGATCATTGCGATCAGAATATTTCGCAACATCAATTTAAAACTAGAAAAAGCACAAAATGTTCTAGAAAATGTAATTATTTAACTAATGCGACCAAAGCATCAAATGACCATAAAGTTTATTTAGAAAAAAAAACTTAAAATAAAGAAAACTTATTAAAAAAAAATAGAAATCCTAAACCATATGGCCGATGCTTTGACTAGTATTGGACGGTCCCTACAAAATTTAGTTGATCAGCGTCTTGTTTTATAAAACGTAGTGTCGTTTTTTTAAGTAATTTTTTATTTTTTTTGTGCAAAAAAATCAGAGGTGCAAGCACTTTTGAGTTAAAAATATTTCAAGCTAGCCGTGCTACTAGTACAGCTCATCAAGAAGATGCACTATTCGATTCTAGCACAACCAATTCGTCGTTGGATATTGGGTTTTGCTTAGATTCTAATTATCACCTCAATGACGAACTATGTTTGAAATTACTTAGACATTCTTGGGTTCCCACTAAAATGTTTAATATTAAAAGCGACTTAGACCTTGTTACTAAACGAGTTTTTCGAGCTGAATGGCTTAAAACCTACCCTTGGTTGGCCTACTCAGCTATAGCAAAATGACCTCTATGTCGAATGTGCGTTTTATTTCGACCTCTGGTGCACCGCGGTTTGCAAGGACAGTTCATAGTTTCTCCTTGCCGGAAGTATCAAAAATTTCATGAAGCTGCACAATCTCATGCGTCCAGTAAGTGGCATTGTGATGCGCTTGATAAAAATTGGTCAAAGATACAACATGATCCCCTACGCTGCAACGAAATCAAATTTCAAATATACCTCTCTTTTGCGAAACTCGCTGGTCAAAAAAGTATAAGAGTATAAAAAAATAATTTTCTGAGAATTTTATCAATATCATACGAGCTTTGAAAGAACTTTCATATAATTCAACAAACTCAAAAACAAAACGGAAGCATATCAGCTCTCTACGAATCACTGGAATCGGTTTACAATAGGAGATGTCAAGCTAAGCGGCTTGTGCATACTCTGTATTCATCGAAAAAGGGTACAAGAAGACAAGTTCATTGACAAAGTGTTGAACAATTTTGGACAACAACCTAGATGTCTTAAGTTTTTATTTACACAATAAACATGTAACAGAAGAACTTTGGGTTTGATTAATTAAAGTGTGTATTTTATACTAACCCGGGGGGAGGGGTGTGTAAGTGCACCCCTTGCACTCCCCTCCCAGCGCCAATACCTGGCAAAATTGAAAGTGCTTAGATGGCGTAACATTTACATTCCCAGCATTGGTCAACATAGTGCAAAATACATCATTAAGAAAATATATCGATGTTGATGAACTTTAGGAAGAATTTTGTGCGATAAAGGAAGCTTTAGCATTAATTAGCTCTTCCTGATGAACCAGACAAAACCACTTTGGAAAAATGGACGGCAATTTTTAATGCAAATCCGAATCTAAAAAATTTCATTACATTTTTTTAGTTCATATTGTGGATCCCTACATCCAATGCCACAACAGAAAGCGTGTTTTCATTATGTGAAACCACCTGGAACGATAATATCAATATGAATATGTTTTCTTCGAAACTTGGTAAAGGCAAAATCCTCCATTCCCAAACAAGAGAGGTTATAGCAAAAGTTATAAATTTTATGAAAAAAGAAGCAGAAGACGGTATTAATATCCCAATAGAAAATTTTAGAGAGCGAGTATTGAAGGCTACTGGAATTTTCAAAAAGGGATATTCAAGCGTTTTGAAGGAAGCTGACACAATCAAATCAGGCGAAAACCTTTCTTTTTCAACACCAAAAAAAAGCAACATCCCAACCTAGAGTAACTAATGTAGATAAGACCAATACCCGGTAACAATAACGAATTATAAACAGTTTGTCAAAACAAAAGAAAAAGACAGAAGGTCAGTTGTGTTTTAATCCTTTTTTAGGTGTATGCATGAAGTTAGAGGGTATAGAATAATCTCATATTTTAAGTTTTTAGTAGCATTGTTAGGCGTTTGATAGGTATGCAGTTATAGTTAGTGGCTAAGTGGTTAGTTAGTAGCATGGGCAAACCACTTTATTTCTATAAGATAATTTCAATAATATGTCTTCGTAGGTTTTTTCAAAAAAATTTAAGCCTCGCAGATTCCATTTCAGGGAAGTCAAGATTCCTTAAAAATAATACTTAAAAAAATAGGTTTCGAGTAAGTTTTTCAATTTTTTTACTGGCATCAATAATTTTATAACCAAATGGTACTACCAAAGGTGGAAAAAATCTAGGACCACAGAAAAATATTGATGGAGTCGCATTCTGTGCGACTTCAAAGGATAGAATATCTTAAAAAACCGAAGCAATTTAGACGTGAAAACCGAAACATTGTGTATACGGATGAAACCTATATACTTGTATGTACATTCATCTCACACAACTCCATATGAATGGAGTGATGGCAGCAATTAATTAATTCGTAAGCCTGTTGCCAAGGGTAAAAGGTTAATTATCGTCCATGCCGGATATGAATCAGGATTTGTGAAAAATGGTCTACTGATATTTACTTCTGGTAAAAATTATTTTTTGTTGCCATAAATTAAAATTGTTTTAAAATATTTTTGGAACATAGGCAAAAAAAGTGGGGATTATCATGATGATACGAACTGAGACAATTTTCAAAAATGGTGAAAGTCTCAAGTCATACCTAATCTTCCTCCAAAATCTGTGTTAGTGGTAGATTGGCAAAGACCAAATTTTCTTAAATTACCGCCGACGATTGGGCTGCCATTTGTCGCCATGTTTCAAAAACAGAAGATGCATATATTAGAGAACGTATATTAGATGAAGCCTTAGAAGATTACCAATTTACCAAAGAGGAAATACGACAATGATTACATAAAATTTGGATTTACTTCAGTTGAAGCCAATCGAAAAACACGGCCCCAGTGTGTGATATGTGTATTGTGCTCAGTAACGATGCGTTAAAACCCGCTAAATTAGAACGCGACTTAAAAACTGTCCATCCTAATTTAAGTGATCGATCGCCCGAATTCTTCTCTGGCAAATTGGAGAATTTAAAGAAAATGAAGCTTGGACCGAGTGGTTCAAGATTTGAATCATCTCAGAAAGCACTATCGGCATCGTTTGAAATTTCTCAACTGATTGCTAAATCAAAAAAACCACACACGATAGGTGAAACACTAGTGAAGCCTTGTCTACTAAGATGTTGAAGAAGTTTTGCGTCTCGAAGCTAAAAAAAAAATTCAAGAAATTCCGCTATCCAACAACACTGTGAAGGCCCGAATTGAAACAATGTCGCTTGATATTGAAGAACAGATTTTGCTTAAGATAAAAAATTCACCATATTTCGCTTTGCAGTGTGATGAAACTACTGATATTGCAACCTGTTGTCAATTACTTGTGTTTGTTCGATTTGTTGACGAAGACAACACCATCAAAGAATTATTATTGTCGAGCGCACTGGAAACTACATCAAAAGGAATAGATGTTATGAATATAATTAGCAACTATCTTGAGAAACATCAGATTTTGTGGCAAAACCTGGCAGGTTTTTGTACAGACTATGCCCACTATGCTCGGTTCGCGGTCAGGTCTAGCAAGTTTGGTGAAACAGAAAAACTGCTCGATACTGACGACTCACTGCATCATTCATCGTCACGCGTTAGCTTCCAAAACGTTGCCAGACGATTTAAACCGCGCCATAAAATTATCTATAAGGTGGTGAATACCGTCAAAAGCAGTGCACTAAATAACGCACTTTTAAGAAATTACGTACTGATTTGGATTCTGAATACGAAACTCTACTTCTTCATACTGAAGTGCGATGGCTATCAAAAGGAAATATGTTGACACGACTTTTTGAACTAAGAGAAGCACTGAAGGTGTTCCTAACTGAGAGAAATGTGGATGTATTGCATGATTTTTGGGATTCGAAATTTGAATTACGGCTGGCCTACCTAGTAGACATTTTCGCTCATTTAAATAAGTTGAATTTACAGTTACAAGGATCAGGAATTGAAAGTTTAAAGAACACTGCAAATATCTTTGCATTTGAAGATACACTTCATGCATTTATTTGCAAAATTGAGTGATCTATATAAATAAAAATGGATCGCTATATGTGTTGCTAAGCGCATGACTCGAGAACGACTCAACCGATTCGGCTAATTTTTGCTTTCAAATATTCGTTGAAGTACGAGGATGGTTCTTACGGAGAGAAAAATTTGAAAAATTGCCTAAAAACAAAGTCTATTTAAACTTTAATACCATTCCATAAAGTTTAAGTGTTAGTGGAGGGGTTCGGGGAAGGCAAAACAATTGAGTGACGTTAGTATCGTATAAATATTAATGTCAATATTTATACGATGCTAACATTACTCAAAAACAAATTGTCTATGGTAAAATGTAAATTATCTGTGGTAAGATGTCACTTGAAATGTAAATGTCTCTTTGCTGTGCATCTATAATATTACTAAATCTAAAAGCCACAAACTTCTATAAAATTAAAAAAGTGTTGTACGAAATGCAACGAATCAAATTAATTATCAAACTAATCGTACTGCTCAGGAACGTGAAGATCGCAATGAACGTGAAAGAATTCGGTTAAGACAGACCCGTGAAGCGCGACATTCGACTAATAATGGTACAAGTTTGAATCGAGCTGCTTTCTGTTACGATATGTCAATTGATTGCAGTGCCTAAAACTGTGTTGCTATTGGACCAATGAACTCAGCTTGCCAATATTATAAGGCATTGAAATACAAAAATGAAGCCAATGGATTGTGTTGCGCAAATGGAAATGTGAAATTGATACCATTGCTTCCACCTCCAGAACCATTGTACCAGAGATAACAGAGATATGACAGCTTTTGAATGCTCCATAAGAAATGCATGGGAGCGAAGTGAACACAGAATTTGACGTAAAGGACGGTTGGGGGCGCAACATTTGTGGTGGTAAACCTGATATCCTAACATCTATGTTAAATGTTACTAAATATATTACTAGTAAAAGTGACATAACGAACGAAAAACACGAACTCTGAGATAACCTCAATTAAATATGATGCGATGGTTTCAAATTATAAAAGAAAAGTCATGTTAACTGCATATGTATGTATGTATTTATTACAGTTACATACATTTTAACAAACAATATACTATTGGTAAGTACAGGAATAGTTCTATAAAAATAACATTGATAAGTAAACCAAATAATGACAAAAGGTAATCAAGGGGGAGATTACTACATGGATGCTATTAAGGCCAGCTGGTTTTTAAGTTGTCTAGGAACTTGAAGCAAAAGTGTATTATCTACTGAAGGCATTTTCTAATTGTTCAATGTAATATGCAAACTGTTCATACGGAACATTAAGATTGCCATAAGATAAAGTTTCAGAATTGTGGGCTTGGAAACGACAATAGTGTAGTTCTAGAATTTCTGCCACATGCATTTGTATCTTCACAGCATATCTGAGAAGAGTATTTTAAGCATGCATCCACTGAGTATCCACATATTTATCGTAAGATATTTTGTTCAGCTAAATCAAACTCTTTGTACTCTATCCTATCTATTTTTAGGGCATTATGAGGTGGTTGGGAATTATTAATTATGGTGGGGATGTTGTACCTCTCACTTAAATTGGAGATATCTTCATTAGCAGATAAGAATTGTGGTGTGATCAGATGATTAAAACAGGACTTGCGTTCGTGGTGTATTTATTTTTTATGTTGTCGGTTCAGTAGATAAGGGAAAAGTGAAGAGTGTTGTCTGTCATTTTGAAAATGAAAAGACAGGTCGGTGTAGAGAGCGGTGAAACGGTTGTGTTGAAAGGGTTTTTAGAAGGTACTCGAAATCTTCGAAGGATAAGAATTATTGGGAAGGGCGAACAAAAGATAGGTTTTACGACATGCAGGTGGACGAAGAGAAAGTTTTAGGATGATAGTGGTTGGAAGTCAATAAATACAGACTATATACAAATATTACATGTTGCACAATTTTGTGGGATTTGTTAGCCCCCACAAAATGTTGCGAAATCAAAAGCACAATTACCAGTTGGGTTGTGCTGCATATATTTTATACAGAACAATAGCTTGTATTTGGTTATGTTCTAATAAAGTGTGATGTAAATAACTATTAATAATATGAGGATAAAAATAATTTTATTAACACCCGCACAGAACTAAAAGTGACTAAAGTCGTCTTCGCAATGAAAAGGTAACATTCAATATTATAACTGTATTTGTACCCCTTAAAGTGTCGTCCTTGAATTTCAACGTTAGGTTGTAATAACAATCGTCGAATGAGCTAGAGGGTACTTTTATTATTATCCTCGCTATAAAATTGTACAGTTTGTTGTGTATGCACATTTTAGAGTTTTAAAGGATAAGAAAAGTTAATACAAGCATTTTGAGTAATTTAATGTTTTTTTTTATCCATTTACTATTAATCAGGATGTAAACATTACAAAAGCACCAACAAATGTTAGATATAATACAATCATTTTTCGAATAAACTTAATGATTGTAATTTTTTTAATCTTGTCTTTTTCCATTTATGAGGAACCTAGTATTTTTGGAAGAAAGATTAACCACTTTTGGTATATTCTTACGATTGGAAATATCCCTGGTAATCAAATAGCCGCGCTACGAAAGTTTCACTCAAATTTAAATAGCGCGCCCGAAAGTGACGGTTTGGGGCGCAGTACATAAGGACTATTGTCGCTTAATTTTGCGAGCTGTCATATCTCTATTATCTCTGATTGTACTCATTGGTCTTAGGAATAGGAACAGATTCCATACACTTTTTAAAGAATATTCAACAATACGACTGCTTTCAAATGACTTCATTTGGAGCAACAAAAGTAGTTCGGGAAAATTTCATACCAACTTTTAAGGTTTGTAATAGTATTTGCAGTTGTATGTTTATTAATCATAACTATTATAGGACAGTACTTTTTTTGGAAACGATGATGATCATATGATTTCGAAGTCATCTCTCCATCGAGTACTCAGCGTTCTTGTGCATACGGTCGTCGGGCGTCATGCGCATGTCATATTTCATCAGTCGTCACATCACATTGTGCGTGATTATTCCGTTCCTATTCCTGCTTAGTTAGTTATTCCGGAGCTAATACAGAGAGTGTGCTGGATTTTGTTTGAAAATAGCGACAAAAATGTCTCCACCCCGGAGAAAGTGCCATTTTAATTCAGAACTACAACGGGAATATCCATTCTTGAAACTAAAGTCCAGGGCTTCTCCCCCCATTGTTTATTGTGAAATTTGTAAAAGCGAAGTGGACATTTCAAACAGAGGCCGCAGCAATATAAAGTCACATCTAAACAAGAAAAAGCATCGGCTAGCTGAGATAGCGTCACAATCGAGCAAGAAACTCCAAACGTTTTTTAAAAAAGATGAAGTGAGTTCTGAAAATTTGCTTATTGCAGCTAAAGAAGGTACGGTCGCTTACCACACAATTAAGCATATGCAGAGTTTTAGATCCTTGGACTGTACTTCAAAACTCATTGCCTGTTTATTTGAACCTAAATTTATGTCAGCCAGAACAAAAACGGAAGCCATTATAAAAAACGTTCTCGCAAAAGAAGCGAAATCAAGGCTTGAAAACGCTTTACAAAAAACTCATTTTGTTAGTATTATTGTTGATTCTTGAAATCATAATGAAACTAAGGTTGTTCCACTACTTGTCCGATATTTTGATGAAGAAAAAGGCATCCAAGTTAAACTACTGCAATTACAAGATCTACCTGGCGAAACATCTGACCAACTGAAGGATAATGTTTACAATGCTTTGTCAAAATTTAATCTTGTAGAAAAGTGGGTAGGTTTATCAGCAGATAATACCAATTCGAATTTTGGTGGAGGCCAAAGAAAAGGCAAAAACAATTTATTTTCTAAATTAACAAACTCATGTGGTAAATCTATTGTTGGCATTGGTTGCGTGGCCCATATTTTCGACAACTGCATTCAAAATGCCACTGACTCTTTACCAATAGATATTGAAGTTATTGTTGTCAATATATACAAACACTTCTACATTTATACAGTTCGTGTAGCACACTTGAAATCTTTTTGTGAAGCAGTTGACATGGAATATAAAAAAATGTTATCCTTCTCAAAAACCAGATTTTTAAGTTTAATGCCCGCCGTTGAGAGAATTTTAAAAATGTATAAACCGCTGCAGACTTACTTTCTGTCTTTGGAAAATTGCCCTACTATTCTGAAACAATTTTTCGAGAATCCTGTTGAGAGAAATTTGGCTGTGGTTTGTTCACAATGCTGCTTCACTATTTCATCAAGCTATTTTAAGTGTTGAAGGAAACAAAGTTTGCGCAGCTGAAGCCGCTTTGGAATATTTCACTCTGAAGGATAAACTAGAAAATCGTTTTTCTACTCATTAAGGTTGAAGTTTGTCATTTTCCCATCGCTGGCAGTGGATGAAATTTCATTTCACCCTCTAGTGGAAAAATACTCGGCCGTCTACGATTTTAACGGGTCGTCCAGCCTGAGCGTTTCGCAGCTAGCGAAACGTGTCGCGTATCCCCTGCACCGACCGCACCGTCCGCTTCGCGCGCTTCGAAAATCATGACGCCTAGGCTGGACGACCTGTTAGTGTTTGACGTTTAATACTGCTAGTTTACACAAGTGAAAACAATGAACATGAGTGAGACTGACGAAGTTTCTGAAGAAATTTTGAATGCTGCCAATGC